ACTTGTATCCCTGGAACAACCCCACTTAGTCATGGTGTGTGACCCTCCAACGCCTTGTTGGGGTCAACTTGCTAGTGTTTGGTTGAGGACTTCTGTGTCTATGTTCATGAGTGATACTGGCCTGTAATTTTTTTGTGTGATATCTTTGTCTGATTTTGGTTTCAGGGTGATGATGGCCTCATAGAATGAGTTTGGAAGTGTTCGTCTGCAGCTTTTTGGAATAGTTTCAGAAGGACAGGTGTTCACTCATCTCTAAATGTTTGGTGGAATTCACCCGTGAAGCCGTCTGGTCCTGGACTTTTGTTTGTTGAGCTTTTCAGTCACTGATTCAGTTTTAGTGCTGATAATTCGTCTGTTCATATTGTCTGTTTCCTCCGGGTTCAGTCTTGGCAAGTTGTGCCTAAGACGCTGTCCATTTCTCGTACGTTGTCCTTCTGGTTGGCATATACTTGCTCAGAGTATCCTTTTATGTTCCCTTGAATTTCTGTGGTGTCAGCTGTAACTTTTCCTTTTTCATTTCTGATTTTATTAATGTGGGCCCTCTTCCTTTTTTTCTTGATGATTCTGGCTAAAGGTTTATCAATTTTGCTTATCTTTGCGAAGAATCAACTTTTAGTTTCATTGATCTTTTCTACTTTTTTTGTTTCATTTATTTTATTTCATTTATTTCTGCTCTAATCTTTATGATTCCTTCTCTTCTACTAACTTTGGGTTCTGTTTGTTTTTCTCCAGCTGCTTTAGGTGTGAGGCTAGGTTGTTGACCTGAGATTTTCCTTGTTTCCTAAGGTGGGCTGGTATCGCTATAAACTTCCCTCTTAGAACTGCCTTTGCTGCGTCCCAGAGGTTTTGGGTTGTTGTGTTTTTGTTTTCATTAGTCTCAGAGTACTTTCTGGTTTCCTCTTTGACTTCTCCAGTGATCCGTTGGTGGTTTAGTAGCACATTGTTTGGCCTCCACGTGTCTGCAGTTTTTTGCAGTTTTTTCTTGTAGTTGATTTCCAACCTTACAGTGTTGTGGTCAGAAAAGACAGTAGGTACAATTCCAGTGTTCTTAAAGTTACGGAGGCTTCTTTGTGGGCCAGCATGTGGCTGATTCTGGAGAATGTTTTGTGTGCACTTGAGAAGAATGTGTATCCTGTTGCTTTTGGGTAGAATGCTCTATAGGTATCAATTAGGTCGATCTGGTTTAATGTGTCCTTTAGGGCCTGCATTCCCTTATTGATTTTCTGCCTGGATGGCGTGTCCACTGATGTAAGAGGGGTGTTAGGTCCCCCACTGTTATTGTGTTATTGTCAATTTCTCCTTTTATGTCTGTTAACGGTTGCCTTATATGTGGAGGTGCTCCTGTGTTGGGTGCATGTATATTTACAATTGCTACATCTTCTTCTTGGATTGATCCCTCGAGCGTTGTGTAGTGTCCTTTTGCTCTTGTAATAGTCTTTATTTTAAAGTCCAAATTTTGCCTGATATAAGTATTGCTGCACCAGCTCTCTTTTGGTCTCTGCATGGAATATCTTTTTCCACCCCCTCACCTTCAGCCTGCAGGTGCCTCTAGCTCTGAAGTGGGTCTCTGGCAGACGGCATGTATATGGGTCTTGTCTTTGTATCCATTCAGCCTGTCTGTGTCTTTTGGTTGGAGTGTTTAATCCACTTACATTTAAGGTAATTATCCATACCTATGTTTTTATTGCCATTTTGTTAATTGTTTGGGGTCTGTTTTGTAGGTCTTTTTTTCTCTTCTTTTCGTTCTCTTTTTCATGATTTGATGAGAAGGTCCTTTAACATTTGTCATAAAGCTGGTTGGGTGGTGCTGAGTTCTTTTAGCTTTTGTTTATCTGTGAAGATTTTGATTTCTCCATCAAATCTGAACGCGAGCCTTGCTGGATAGAGTATTCTTGGTTAAGTTTTTCCCTTTCATCACTTCAAATATATCATGCCGCTCCCTTCTGGCCTATAGAGTTTCTGCTGAAAAAGCAGCTGATAGCCTTACGGGAGCCCCCGTGGGTGTTATTTGTTGCTTTTCTCCTGCTGATGTTAATACTTTCTCCTTCTCCTTAGTTTTTGTCAGTGTGGTGACTGTGTGCCTCGGTGTGTCCCTCTTTGGGCTGATCCTGTGTGGTGCTGCCTGCACTTCCTGGACTTGGGTGACTGTTCCCTTTCCCAGGTTGGGGGAATTTTCAGTGATTATCTCTTCAAAGATTTCCTCAGGTCCTTTCTCTTTTTTCTTTCTGGGACCCCTGTAATGCGAATATTAGAGTGCTTCGTGTCCCAGAGTTCTCTTAAACTGTCCTCATTTCTTTTCATTCTTTTTTCTTTTTTTTCTGTTCTGCAGTAGTGACTTCCACTAATCTGTCTTCTAGCTCATTGGTCAGTTCTTCTGCCTCATTCAGTCTATTCTTGGTTCCTCCTAGTGTGTTGTTCTTTCAGTGGTTTTATTCTTCAGCTCTGGATACTCTCTGTATTTTCTAACTCTTTGCTAAAAACTTCACTCTGTGCATCTAGACTACTCCTGAGTTCTCTGAACATCCTCACCATCATGACTTTAAACTCTTTCTGGGATAAATTACCTATCTCCTCATCGCTTACTTCTTCTACTGGGATTTTATCTTATGCCTTGGCCTGGGAGATATTCCTCTGCCACCTCATCTTATCTTTCTATTTGTATTTTTAGGTAGGTTAGTTACATGTCTCAACCTTGGAGAGGTGGCCCTCTGTGGGAGATGTCCAATGTGTCCCGCAGTGCACTCCTCTCTTGTCACCCAAGGGCCAGGGTCTAGCCAATCCCAGTGTAGAGTCTGGCCTGTGTTTGTGGATTCCTTCCACAGCCTTTGGGATGTTGTTTTCTTATTTCTGGTATCTGCCCCTGGTGGGTGAGGCTGGACTAGAGGCTTATGCAGAGTTCCTGGCAGGAGGGGCCGGTGCCTGCCCACTGCTGGGTGGAGCTTGGTCCTGGACCTCTGGTGGGCAGGGCCGTGTCTAGAGGCTCAGGAAGTCTGCAGACGGGTGGGGCTGTTCCCACTCAGTATGTTGTTTGGCCTGAGGCATCCCAGCCCTAGGCCTACAGGCTTCTGGGTGAGGCTGGGTCTTGGTGCTAATGATCCAATCAAGATGTCAGCCTCCAGGAAAGCTCATGAAGATGAACACTCCTGGAATGTCTGCCACCAGCTTTTATGTCCCCTGGGTGAGCCGCAGCCATCCCCACCGCCTCAGAAGATCCTCCAAAATCAGCAGGCAGATCCGGCCCAGGCTCCTATGAAATCACTGCCTCTGCCCCGGACCTGGCGCACGTGAGATTCTGTGTGCGCTTCCCAAGAGAACGGGGTCTCTGTTTCCCCCAGTCCGGTGGGGCTCCTGGAGCTAGGCGCCACTGGCCTTCAAAACCAGATGTCCTGGGGTCTCCTCCTCCTCCCGAGGCCAGAACCCCGGGCCAGGGAGCCTGGCATGGGGCTCAGAACTCGCCCCTGTGGGGGGGGGCCTCTGTGCCTTAATCATTCTTCAGCAGTGGGTCACCCTCCTCTGGGGGGTATGGGGCCCGATCATAATGCAAGCACGCCCCTCTCACCGTCCTGCTGTGGTTCCCTCTTTATGTTTCCAGCTGAAGATCTTTTTTGCCAGGTTCCAGCCTTTTCTCAGTGGTCATTTAGCAGCCAGCTGTGGTTTCGTTGTAGTCGCGAAGAGAGGCGCGCTCGTGGTCCCGCCACTCCGCCATCTTGACCAGAAAGCCCCCGAGGTGTTCCACCCGAGAAAGCGCCTCCCGACTAGCGTCCTGGGCTTCGGGAGAGACACCAT